TCACATGATTCTGGTGACTTACGGACTTTAAAAAACCCTCTAAAAATGTATTAAACCATGCAAATATGCATTTACTAATGTGAATTAACACATCTGTAGAAGTTTGCATTAGTGATTCTGAGAATAAGCACCGATGTGAAGCACAAGTAGAACAAAATTTTGGTTGAAAAAACCAATTCTGTCAGTGAGCAGATTATGAATGAAAGATGCCTGACAAGCCGTGAAACACAAGATGGAACTGATTTAACACAAACTATGGATCAGGGTTTTTTTCCCCACCAACCTGTCATTTCCCTGATGTGTTGGGCTGAAGGAACATAAGGAATCTACCATATTGAAAGTCTGGCCTAAGCTTGGAGAGAAGACCACCTGAGAACCCCATGTAGCCACGTTGAGTTCCACAATTGCAGAAAGGTGGGATATACATATAATAAATGGATGCTGCATATATAACTTCCAGAGTTCTCAGAAGCATGAACATTGAAGGCTGCATTAGAATTACCACTTGAAAAAAGGCCCAGGCTCTGCCCCTTCGTACTCTGAAGCTACATTCCCCATAGACAAGGAAGGCTGTAGACAGAGGCTTGATACATTCACAGGTGGCTAAACCTTCCTGCTGCCCCTTCCCAACTATTAAGGGAATTAGCCATGAGGCAGAGAACAAAGAAAGAAAAAGCCAAACTAGGGACTCCTCCTTTCCTATGAAAGGAAGTCAGCACAGGGGGGAAATGAGTAGACTGTGTTTCAAGTCCGGATCCATTTCTCATGGTAATTGCTCTATGCAGCAGAGCCCTAGGATGGTATGGCAAATGTGTACAGTGAAGCAGGGACTGATGGGAGAGGGCAGGGTAGACAAAACTGTGGTGCCTCCATTCAGTGTCCTTGTTTGCTATATGTATGAATAGGCCTTTTATGTCCATGCCATTTCTGAGGCATGCATTAATGGCAGCTATTGAAAATACAACTGGGTTTGGGGGAAAATGTGTATCAGTAGAGCCAAAAATAAATACATGCCACACATTTCTTTTTTGCATCAGAAATTATGTCCACCAGCGCTCTGGGGCATAGCGTGCAGCCCACTGGCATATTGTATGCAGCCTACGCAAGATCAGCAGCACTGCCCAACGGCTGCCAATCTGGGCCTCCCTACAGCTTTTCCTCAATGCTCAGTATAAATACAAAGTGAACCAGGAGCAAAGGAACTGTGCTACTGATGCCCTTTCTCTGCTGGCACACTCTGCATTAATGCTGGTTGTTGGCAAGACCTGGCTCCTTCATAGCCGCCTTTGGGACCACTTGCATTGTGAACTCCTGCTCTAGAATGCAGTTTTCTATTATTATCATTATCATTATTCCCACCAGCTCCACCACCACCATTTTCATTCTATACCACCCCATAGCTGAAGCTGTCTGGGTAGTTTATAGCAATCCATAAAAGAGACAATACAAGGCCATAAAAATAACATGAAATCAGAAAAATAATAAAAAAGTTTAAAATAGCTGAAACAAACTACAACAAAAAATGACTCTGACCAGAGGTAATCCACTCAAGCCCCTGGGTATCCAAGTAAGTCTTTAAAGGCCTTGGCATAAAAAGTCATCTCAACCTGGCACTGAAAAGATGACAAATTTGGCATCAAGCAGGCCACAGTGGGGTGGTTGTTCCATAGATGAGGGGCCACCACAGAGAAAGGCATCTCCCGTGTTGCCACCCTTCAAGTTTCCCTTGAAGTTGACAGTTAGAGGAAGGACAGCTTCAGCATAGTGTCCAAGTTGGGAGAGGTGCTGTGAAGGTATTACAGTCCCAAGCCAGGTAAAGCTTTAAGTGCTTACTCATGATTTACCGTTTACGTTTTTCTTAAAATTATTAATAAAGCTGTCACTGATCTGCAAGTAATAACCAGTTCCTGGGTTAAGTCACTCAAGAACTGGAGTGACTACCTGGAAGTGAGTGACCACACTGCTTCCACCTGTTTGCCACTATCACTTTCTAAAATAACCTAGGAATCATAGTATAGTAGAGTTGGAAGGGGTCAATGGCCTTGCAGATCTCCAAGTCAAACCATCCTTCTCAGATGTCTGTACAGTTGCATATGGAATGCCTCCAGTGTGGGAGAACCCAGAACCTCCCCAGGTAATTAGTTCCACCACTGTGCTGCTTTCATAACCAGACAAGTTATAGCTGATATCTAGCTAGAATCTGGCTTTTGTAACTTGAGCCTGTTATTTCATGTCCTGTACTCTGGGATGATCGAGAAGAAATTCCAGCCTTCCTCTGTGCGACAACCTTTCAAGAATTAGAGTGCTATCATACCTCTTGTCAGTCTTCCTGAGGCTAAACATGCCCAGTTCTTCTGATTATTTATGGATTTGCTGTTGAGTTAATTCTGGGTCGTTTAACTCCTAAAGAGTGTTGAGTTCCTGGGTCTGCATGTCACAACAACCCAGGGACAAATTGCTTCAGAAAGCTGAGGTGATCAAATAGGTGAAAACCAGCATGTTTCCTTGCACTCTGAAAGCATGGGTTGTTTGTGAACCAGCACGCTTGTTTTTTTATGACTTTGCATTTTACCATGTCATTTCATTGTGTTCTTCCCTTCAGTATTATGGGACAGTCACTGCTACTATTGTTTTAATTAGACAGTACCACCAGCCTTAGCCAGAAACTGCAAGCTGCAGCTGCTCCAGTATCAGCTAATGGTGGCAGTTGTATGGTGGTACAGCCATAACAATATCTTGGCTCCAAAGTATGCCTACTTTTGCAATCAAACTACAAGTTACTTTAAAGATACTCTGACCTGGATCAGGTTGCTAAGTAGTAAGGGGTGGAGTGCTTGAAATGCTTCCCCCTCTTCCCCACTATGGTCCTCTTCTAGATCAGAGCCATGCCTGCAATTTGTCTCACCAAAAAAGAATTTATTGAATCAAGTGCATTATTCTTTGTCAATGGAATTTGCTGGTCCAACCCTCCCATCCTGATTCAGATTGGGACCACAAAGGGTTAAAAAACTCTAACACTCACACTAAAGTCCCGATTTAACAGGACCTTAGAAACATAACTGGCAGCTAAGTCTTTTGTTTTTTCCATCCATAAAAGCAGATACAAAAGAGGCAACATACTTTGTGTATTGCTCCCTTAGGGCTTTCTTGAATAATTTATTCAAGAAAGGGCTTGAATTTATTTCTTGAATAATTCTGACGCTTTGCTATTTTCTCCCTTTGCCAGGATCCTGGCAATTGCTAGGAACTCTGGTGTGACTTGACATACATACCAAAATGGCATTTTTCTAGCTGTATGCCGTTAATGATAGGTCAAAATGCTTTCTTTACATTTTTGCCAAGAACTCCTGCACCTCTTTCCCTTACCTTGGCTCCTACACTTGTTTCCTAAACCCACCTGCACTTTATTAACAACTCTTACCCTCGCCTTCTAATAAATCATATATCTTCCAAAATAGGCTCCTGGTTTGTAACACATTCAACACAATTGGGAGCCGGTTTATATACAACTGATTTAGATTAAGACAAGCCATCACACAGACACAAACATTAAGGGTCTGCTTGCTTGCATTTACTTTACTTTTTGACCATACTGACTACACTAGAAGCTTAACACAACAAGGAGTCATTTCACAGATATCTTCATTATCTAGTCAGTACTACTCATCTCTGCCACTAGATGGCAAGTGACAGTTTACAATTTGTTTCAGCTGGTAGGAACTGAGCAAAATGCTGATAAACAGTAGCATTTATGGCAGTGTGATCTTGTTAAACTGGATTTGCACTAACTTTTACATGTCTAGGATTATAAAATGCTGTGCTAAGTAACATGCTAAAATTAGTGATAAGTTACCTATGGGCTTGTGAGGTGGGAGAGGAGGAGGTTGGTGAAACTGTAAACCTATTACACTAATGTTCTGAAAGATAAATACAGCATGCTCTGCCAGTTTTTGAACAAGAAGACTGCTTTAGTATTATACCACAAAAACTGGAGTACCTGCTAAACGATTTCATATTAAAACAGTGAACAAGTTTGCAATATCAAATGTAAAGACTGAAAAGAAAAATATGAAATTGAACTAATGTTTCTTATTAGCAGTTGCAATTCAATATCTCTAATACTTATAATCATGATGACTACATACCATATCTGTCGGTATCTGATCTGTATATGGGTACTTTGCAATTATGGTTTTGTTCCTTTAATTATTGTCTGCATGTTTTTTGAAATTCTTGTTTAATGTTAACTTCTGTTAACAACCCAGAGATTTTTGGCTATTGGGCGGTATATAAATGAATATAATATTAATATTATTATTAATAATAATAGGTTTGTAATTTGGTTGTATAATTGCAAGTCTTCACAATTAATTATATTTTATCTCTTATATCAGGAGTAGGCTGCCTGTCACCTGTAAGCATTTTGGGCTATAGCTCCCATATTCCCTGATCATTGGCCAAGATGACTGTGGCTTATGGGAACTACAATCCAAAACATCTGTAAGAGACAAGGCTGCCTGACTGGCATAAGATGATCCCTTCCAGCTTAGGCCAAATGCTGATGTAGTCCAGCATTCAGTATCCCAGGACGGAACCAGTCGGATGTTTCCAGGAAGGCCATATGAAGGCAATAGCTGTTCCCAGGAACAGGGCTTTCAGCAGCACGCTGCTGCACCCACAGCCTTGCAGCTAACAGCCTATTGACAGACCTCTCTTCTCTGTCCAACACCCGCTTGAAGCCATCCAAGCTGGTGCCTCCAAGAAAATTTGAGGCAGAATATACAATCAATTATGAGTTATGTGAAGAAATACTTCCCCCTGTCCTGAATCTCCTGTCACTGAATTTCACTGGCCACCTCTGATTTCTAGTATTAGGACAGACAGCCTTTTCTCCATCCACTTCTCCATAGCAGCCATGAAAGAATGAGCAAATGTGGATTTGCATATATATTAGGCAACGCAAAGCAAAACAGAAAACATATGTTTGATGTCTTACTTACCCAAAATTTTACTAGGAAGAAGGCATTCTGAGGTCCTTTTCCAAACAACTCCTTCAAGCCACCCTTCTTTTCAGGGAATTTGTCATAAATCTGACGAATGTCCACTGATTCCAATAATGGATCACTGTAAGAATGATTGGCATGTCCAATGTGCACGAAGAGGTGTTTGTTATACTACAAAGTAAAGAAAAAAACTTTATAAACAAATTAACTGGGAATGTTTATTTCTAATGAGACCTACAGTGCAGCGATGTTTGCAAGAAAACAAATGCAAAAGGTTGCTGTATGTTGCTGAAGCATCTGTTGGTTAAAACCATTCCTGACTACATCGAATAGCAAGATCTAACACTGGAATGCTCCTGCTGCAGATATAAATATACACACCAAGGAGAAGTTTTTATTCTAGCTTTTCTCACAACAGAATAGCTCTGCATGTGTGATGCTGTTGACTTTTACACAAGAGAACTTTCAAACATTGAGTCTTCTATGCACAGCCAGGCAACAAATGTATCACCAGGAACTGGTGACTGTCTAGTTTGCTGCAAAATTAATCCAGGGCATTTGATGATTTAAGCACATCATAGGAAATCAACATTATTCATGTAAGCACATAATGTGTTCAGCAGAATGGAAGACTTCAAGTAAAAGAAGTCTCCTTCTGACCTTTTCAGCAGTCTTCTAGCCTGAGATGAGTAAAACTTGAACTAGAACTTTGTTATACACAATGCTTTAAAGATTGAAACATGTCAGCATAAGACTGGAAGGAGCTAGAATGCTTATCACTGACTAGTTCTGCTGTATTATGTAACGGTGCAAAGTTTAGCAACTGTTAGTAAGTAAGGCAAAACTGAATTATCATTCTAAGTGGACAGTGCTATTTTATGCTAGCTCTTTCAAACCTCCAGATATGATAGTTACATTACAGTAAACAGTAAGCTTCATTTTAGGATGAGGCTTACCCTTCTGTGGCCTACATATGGGTGCGAGATTAGTGTGGTACAGTGGACAGAGTGCTAGTTTAAAAATGGGGAGCCCAAACTTAGATGATGCACACTAGGAGGCCAGAGGGTAATATCTTAGACAAGCTCTAAGGTGCTTCAGATGGGCTAGGAAGTATGAAGCATCTTGTGCATTGAGACAGGCTTTGTACACTGATAACTATTTCAGACATAGTTCATAAAACACGGGTTTCTTTATTTCATGTATAGTCTAGCTATCATTTTCTGCATTTACCTTCCAGGGAACTCAACATGGTATATGTAGGGCTGGCTGTTAGGATTCTCCCCATTCAAACCCTGACCAGACACTGCTCCATTGATCTTTCAATATGATTGCTTTAATCCTATTTTCCCCCCCACAGACCATTCCCTGAACCCTTGCATATCTGTGGAAGTGTCCTATTGAGCTTACATGTTTTGTTTTCATTTGAATGTTTTTCCATGTTATAGTGAAGATAGGGCTGTATCCAATGCTGTCCATGCACCTGTGGGATCTACCTCAGGCACAACAGGAAGTAAGAGATTGGGAACAAGATGGAATGCTGTTTTCTGGAATGGAAAAAAAATGCTGGAGCTCAGAGGGGAGCTTTGCTGACCTGTCCAATTCCAGAAATGAACATTGAAGCCTATTTCCAGGATTGTTCTAGGAACTACTTTGTTGCAGTTATGGCGAGTCTAATGTATTCAGTAGACTGGTGCAACATCTTAAATGGAGGTGTACAGGCGGTACTGGATACTGATGATGGCTGATTATATGCATGAACTATTAGATCAATCTCATACTGGGATTCTGCCTGGTATTTTGCTTTGCAGGGTATTTGGTAGGGTTCAGCTGCATAAATACCAGGCTTTGCACTAGAACAATATTCTCTTCTATAATTGAATGCTTGTCAAAAAGCTTGGCCAGCAGTGAGATAAACAAACATGTACTTTTATCAATATTATTGCCCTCAAGTCCAGGTTGTAAGCTTCTCAGGGGCATCTTGATGGCTACTGTTTCAACCTGAGGCTAATCAGCTTTTTGTCCCAATCCCTCATAGCTCCAGTTATGGTCTTAGGAATACATCTACTAGTTAACTATTTAAAATAACCTGGGGCAATATTCAGCAGTGTTGTTCCACAAACTGAATAGCACTAACAGAGTTTTGTCAAGAATATTGTTATGCTTGCGCAGCCACAACTTCCGTGCATAGTTCAGAACCTAGTTTTCATGAGCACAACATTATTTGTGCAAGTGGAATGACACAGCTGGATACTGCCCCTGCAATGGTAAGATATACAGCAAAGCAAGAAAACAACATGTTAACCTGTATCTGTAGCCAGCACTGTCATAATTCAGTAGCTTCCCTAAAGCTTGTAATTTCAGAATGATAGCACTTTATCTGATCTAAACTCAATTCATATAATTATAACCCAGATCAAAGCTTTTTGAATCAAACTGGAAGTTTAAAAAAAAAAATCTCAGAGCTTCCTTTCCTAATATCCTGAACCATATTACCTCCAAGTACAAGTGGAAAGCTTAACAAGTTTAGCTTATAGATCAGAGAGGCAGTGTTAGCAAAAAAAAAAAAGGGTGTTTCTACTTTAAAGAGTAAAGTACATAGGTCAGAAAAATAAACAAATGAATGGAGGGCATGAACGCATGAATGAGCAAGCACATGAATGAATGACTGACTGACTGACTGACTGAATGAATGGACCGCAATGCTTATGAGTACAAGGCTTTGAAAAGGCAGGCTTAACTTGCATACCGATCAGTTACACAAGAATTACAGTAATTATCATCCTATTCTGTAACAATAAGTAATTACCATACAGCATCTGCATGAATACCCAGGCCAACGGCAAAAGCAGCAAGCTTGTTTTCCTCTTTAATGCAAAATCCTAAGCTACGTGCATGAAAAATTTCCTATGTGCACCTAACTGAACCTCTTTAATACCACAATTCAATTCAAGTTCCAAGTTTCAAAGTGCTGCCCTGAAACCACCTGTATCAAAATAGCTGTACTGTAAGCATGATAATCACACCAATACTCGGCTTTTTTGCCTTTATATGACTTTTAGAATATTAGTGTCAGATGCTGAATTAAAGTCTTTCCCACATTATGTGAATTTCAGACTGGGTAAATGTTGGAATGCTGAATGCTGCTTGCATAATTGTTAGAGCCTTAGAGGCTGAATGGTAGTCAGCAAGTGGGACCTGCACTAAGCAAGATGGGCCAGGAGAATGGCATATACTAGCCACCCCCATCCTATTTATGGAATAGTAATGAGGAGAAATCTGTTGCTAAAACAAGCCCAAATCAAAGCTTTTTGGAGTTTGCAAAAACACACGGGGCCACACTGAACATGTGAGAAAATGTTCTCTGGTCTGATGGGATCAAAACTGAATTTTTTGGTCTTGCTGCAAAACACCACATGTGGTACAATGCCATTGCTCATTGCTCTGAAAGCACAATCTGAGCATGGTGGTGGCAATATCATGTTGTGGGGATGGTTTTCTCAACAGGGACTGAAAAACTAGTCAGGGCTGAGGGTATGATAGATGAAGCAAAAAACAGGACACTTCTAGAAGAAAACCTGTTTCAGGATGTTAAGAACCTGGAAATGGGGCAGAAGTTTACCTTGTAATAGGCTATGTGGCCCTAAACACACAGCTCAAGTAACACCAGGGTGATTTAGAAGCAAGAAGCCAAATGCCTTAGAATAGCCTATTCAAAGTCCAGACCTCTGGAGCAAGACTTGAAAGTTCCTGTTCGCTGGCAGTGTCCATTCTGACTGACAGAGCAGGAGCAATTTTGGCAGGAAAAGTGGGCAAATGTTACAGGATCCAGATGCACAAATCTGACAGAGACTTAACCAGAAAGACTCCCAGGTGTACCTGCTGCCAAAGGTGCTTAAGTATTGTGACTTGCCTGTGTATATGTGAATATTTATACAACCAACATATATATGACTGTTCTTGTTTAATTTGTGTGCCTTGATAGCATATTTTGCACCTTCAGTGTTGAGTATCTTGGATACACATAAAATAGTAACAGTGTCAATTAAATCCATTTTAATTCTAGATTGCTACACAATGAAATATGGAAAAGTCAAAGTGGGGGCGGGGAGAGAGAGAGAGGGAGAGAGACTACTCTGCATCTGCAGTGACCTCCATCCCCCATTCTTTAGGTGCTAACTTCTCTGTTTGCACCTTACAAATCAGATATAAATTATGACTTAGAAAAATAACAGACACACTACAGAAGACACTGTGCTTTTAAATGTGAAGCAATGTTAAAGGCAGCTGTAAAGCTACTACAGTTGTTTGCAGATCTTGCCAAAAGTACCAGATGCTGCTGGTGCAGCAGCAAAAATTCCAATGTGTTTCAGAGGGACAGATGGTATGGCATCATCTGACAATATTCTTAGGACATAAATGTTTATTTTGACATTACATGTGTGATTATTTTCTCCTTATGTTACTGTAATTCCTACGCTAAACAGAATGATGACTAATCCCCTTAGTCACGGCATTTTTCTAATGAATGACAATGAAAATATAGGCTCTCAATGCATAGGTATTGAAAGCATTCATACCAATCTGGGAGCAACCATACATGAAGCCACCCACATACTTAAGAGTGTAATTTTTAAGGGTACAGGGGCTCGGAATGTGCAAGGAAATAAAAGCAAGGGGAAGACTTCTAAAGGGTGTAGATTAGCCAACTAATTTCCTGCCTGATTCTCTTCCCTGTTGATCAATGAGATGGGGAAGATGACACCCCAAAAAGCTGCCCTAAAGTGGCAAATGATGTGAGGGGGAAAGCCAGCCTAGGATACACCATTCTCCTGGCACATCTGGCTCTGCAAAGGCCCTGCTTGCTGTCTACTGTTCAGCCTCTGGCGCAAAAAGCCGTTCTGTGCAATGCTTTTATTTCTGCCAGGCAATGCATTGGCATCTGGCAGGCAATGCATTGGTTGCTACAACCCCCAGTGGATGGCTCATCCAACGTGATAATCCACATTTAATGACTGAGTATGGTTTGCTGTTGAACCATGGGTTGCTGTCTGAACCCATTCACAGTAGGAAGCCATGGTCTGTTAACCACAAACAATCCACAGTTCCCACAAACAATCCACAGTTCCCAATCCAACAACAAACCATGGGATCTTTCATAGGTTGGTATTGTG